GACGGTGACTACTGGATTGAGGGTGCTTGAGGGATTGTTGGAAAGCAGTACGGAAGACTTTTGCATCGTTGGCGGAGTTAATTTCGTCAAGGAGGGAGTCTAGTGCTTGGGAAATTTCAGGTTTGAGGGACGCGACAGTTTGTGATCGAAGTTCAGCACCATAGCGCTGTTTGACTAGAGCCGGTAAAGAAGGATGGATAAGGCGTAGCCATGTCAACACAATTATGTTCTCCATTGTTGGGGAGATGTCTTCATCAGCTGTAACGTTTTCACCATGGTGTCGAATACCATCATCAGCTTTGAGCAAATTGTCATCAATGAAGCTAACAAGCCTTTGGTAAAGGTCTTCCGGACGCTCGTCAGCTTCTAAGTGAATGTTATTAAAGTCTAAGAAATGACCACCTGTGGACTGAAACCCAAAGTGAGCTCGAATTGATTGCCAAATAGTGCTCAAAGATGTCGAGTTTTTGACAATAGTATTTCGGGAAATTACGGGGCAATAATTGGCTATTTGGCCCAATATAAACTCCAGTTGGGCTGCTTTTTGCTCTGCAGTACGACGGCGTGCTTCGGATACAGTATCGGCATCATTTTCGAAACCGCGAAGTGGGGAGGCTGTGGTCTTTCTCAGCCAAGTTACCCCATCGATCAAAAATGGGGCGAAGTTTGGGTCTGACGATAATGTATATTGTAAATTTTGACGCCATGCTTCAAACGATGTTATTGTTTCTTGTTTTGTGAGAGACCACTGTTTTGGGGCACGGTTGCCTGCCATACTAACGAGAAAGACAACTAACTATACGAATAATTGACTTACGTTTAGTATGGGCACTCACGAGGTCTTGCTGTACGAGCTCTGATTCGTAGAACAGCTGAAAACTGCTTCGCTTTTACCTTGTTTTGGTACGAGAAACTTTCTTCTGTGCTGTGTATTATGATCTCTGCTGTGTTAGAGATCGAAGGATAAGGAAATAAGTCGCTGCCACCACGCCAGTATAGAAGAAAGACTCACAAATAACGAACGATAAAACTATATGTTTTTACAGAGCAATTCGTATTTTCGAAGTACAAGCAGTCACGTGAGTGACTAGCGATAAACCGGAAGTTCCGGTGTTTATGATAATGTCAATATAATTACTGCTGTTAAATAAACAATATCAATATGCCATTTATGGCGCATGGCTCCTTGGAAGAGCACTTTAGTGAAAGGACACCATCTTACCTATTTATGTATTTTTTAATAAAGCTCCATTGATTGATTGATTGATTGATTGATTGATCAGTAAGGTTGTGATTAGACCGGCCGTTGATACTACAACACCTGTGAGTCCCACCTTTTCCTCTCCTAACCATTTCACAAATTTGCGGAATCTGGAAATGTCTTCAACTTGAGCTTCTCTACCTTCCTCTAATTCTTTCTGCATGACTGTCCTATCCCTTGCTTCCCTAAGAGCGATTATTCTTTTTTCCAATCTGATGAACTCCTCTGGATCTTCTGTTTCATCCCTCAACTCCATCGTTTTATTGATTGTGTCCTGAAAGTATTCTACTTGTTTCTGAAGTGCACCGTCGTTGCCCACTCTTGATTCCAGGTCCATGGTGTCTGTGGGGTCAAGCACTCCTCCGAGCTCTCTATTTTCCGTAGGGGTTAGAGCTGGGATGTCGTCGCTGGTTACCCTCACATCTATGAGTTCAATGTCTTCAAATGTAATTTATAGTCTTTATAACTGTGGTCTCACTACCGGTATCCTCCTTCTCTGTTCTGAATTCAGTGTCAGTTGTCTGGTCCTCCCTGATCTTCCTCACTAGGTCCTTATATTCTCTCAGTGCAGGGGAATTCTTGGAGTACGTTCGAATGGAGGTCTTTCCACGTTTCATTATCTGGGTACCACTTTTGTTAATACCCTGCTCACTTCTAAACATTGATACCTCTGTGCCATCGTTGAGTGTCCTGACGGATGACCGTTTGATGAGCTCCCTAACGTTTCTATTCCTAGGATTGAGTACTATTTTCTCCTTTGTCTGAATAACCCTTGTGAGAGCCTGAACACGTTCCACCTGGTTTTCAAAGTCTTTTTTCCTCTGTAGTATGGTGAATGTTTTCAGTTTATCCAGACGTTCCTCTATGTCGCCCCAGTCAGTGTTAAATGATTCATCAAATACATCTAGCACATCTGGAAGTAAATTGTTTGGATCCTCCACAAAGTCAGCGCTTGGAACGGTTGTGCTTCCTGATGGTCCTGTGATGTTTACGGTTCCTTCTTCCCCCTCAATGAAAGTTGTCTGTGCTGTCCCACGTTCCTCCATTCGCTTCTTCACATAGCTGAGTTCATTGTTAAGGTCAGTGGCTACCAATGGATCTGAACCATAATTTACCTCCCTTTGTAACATATTTGTTAGTTCATCAAAGTTTGATGTAGGGTCGTGGTAGTTCATGTCGTCATATTGAGGATAACTTTTTTGTTCCTCCTCCAACTCAATGTCATCGTAGTTCTCAGCATCCTCCATAATACTGTAACCTATGTTAGGGACTTGATGCTCCCAGCTGGTATCCAACTGTTAAATTTATCATCATAACCTAACCACTTAACGAAAGCCATCTTCTTACCTTTCACTGTTCTTCTTCTTAGTACTTTCTCTATCTTGAAATCAGGTTCTCTTCCTTCAGCGCTATACAATTCTTGTTCGTAGAATCTGCCAATTATTGGTTCACCAGCACTGTCTTTTATTGTGTATGTGTTTGGATGCCCGTGATACACTTCAGTCACAGTGAACAATTCCTCTGTGAAGTTTGCTTCATACCCCTTTGTGAACACTGATTTGTACTTTGAGATCCTGACACTTTCTCCGACAGCAAACTTTGGCTCTGACGGCTTTCCTAGGTCGTTACTAAAAAGTGTCTTCCATACGTCAGTCCAGTTGGACTCATTAACACTGTTCGGTCTTGTTTTAATTGACCTGTTCACTGAACTGTTGTAACTATCGGTTAAGTCTTGAAGGACGTCTAACCATTCATATGTACTGGCACTGTAGAAGTACTTCCACATTAGTGCTTTTAGTGTTCTGTTAAACTTATCCACAACTGCGGCCTTTTTGTCTGAGTAAGTGGAGAAAAACTCAATGTTATGTTTGTTGAACAATGACTTCCTTCTTTATTGTAAAACTCTGTGCCTTGATCAAACTGAACAAATTTTGGGTACTTCCCAAAGTGGTTCTTGAATTGCTCTAAACAGTTACTGACAGCGTCCTTCATTGTTAAAGCGGTTTTCCTGTACACTGGTACAGTAAACGCGTACCTACTTAGTATTTCGATGGATGTGAGAATCCACCGATATCCCTTGTTCTTGTCGTTGTACTTTGTCATGTCAACTAAATCCATTTGTAACTGCTCACCTAAGGTTTGGACGTACGTCTGTCTGAACTTGTGCCTCCTAAACACCTGCCTGTACCTGGTGTATGTGTCCTGCTCGTTTATCCATTTTTTGGCCTGATTTCTGGTTACTTCAAGTCCGTCTGATATTGCTCTAAGGTATAGTTTCTCTGGTATTTGGAATCCAGTCTTAGGACTGTAGTAAATATCTCGTAGTCCCTGTTCTTTCATAATATCGTTGTCCATCATATATTAACCAATGTAAGCCTGCTACTCAAGGTACATCTCAATGAGCACCTCACCTATATCAATTGGTTTTCCGTCTTGGTCTGTCATGTGGAACATAAGTTCTGAGCATGTTCCCTTGACAATTGAAGTTCTGCTCTCAACGTCAATGTAGCTAACCACTGAACCGAATAATGATCGGTCTGTTGGAACTGTGACACTTGTTATTACATCGCTTGTCTTCCCCCTATGATCTACGTTGTAGCTCTTACTAGTGAGGTTGCAATGAATGTCTACAAACTTGAGACCAAGGTTAATGTCTACCCTATCATACGATTCGATGAACCTTCCCACACCAATATACTTCTGTTGGTGGGGGCTAGTCCATCCCAACATTCTTGACAGTGTTGGTTCAAGGAAGAAATACTCACCATCTGTCCCATTAAGTGAGGATTTTCCCCTTTCTTTAACGTACTTTACTTCAGCTACCCCGGTTTCCTTTATAAATTTAGTAATATCATCAAATGTGTAGTAACCCGGTTATAGTGTATGTTCTTCGTCTGCCTGTTTACCTGTTCTTACCATTATCGTATCTTCTTTAATATTCATATACTCCCAGAAGACCGACACTCTTTTCAAAAAGACTGAATTATAGTTGCTTGTTAATACCGAGTTCTGTAGCGGTACTACAGTGCGTGAACCCCTTATAAAAATTGTAAACTTCATTCTAATAACATACGGTAGGTTATTCGAAGATGGACTACACTCTGAAGAAACGAAAACATCTCTTACATCCAGGTGATCCCATACATGCTTCCGATCACTACAGCAAGAGTAAGGAGTGGACTGATTATCAAAAACATGGTGAAGTTGTGAAGGACCCTTATTATGCAAATAAGAAAAAGCCCACTCCTGTAGTCCCGCAACAGAAAACAAAGGTTGTCACCCCTACTGGTAAGGCTAAGGTTGAGACACTTGATAATACCAGGAATGGGTGGCCATTGGTTTGCGCTTCAGGAGGTAACATACCGGCTTTCACACATTTGAGAGAACCTAAGCATGAGTGGGGAATTCACCACTACCCTACCTTCCAAAGTGCTGTTAATTTGGGTTATCAGATTCATAACTTCAAGGTATACGTTTCTGACAACGATTACTTTTACTCAAAGTTCACACCCATTGGGCTTCATGATTGGAAAAATAAGTCAATGCTCTATGAAAACAACAGGGGCACCGATGAACTTCCGAGTAATGTTGAGATTAATATACGCACCGTTAGCATGGACTTTGTAAATGAATCATATTTTGCTCAGATATGTTCCGCGTATATTGCAACCTTTCTGTGTGGTATCTCTGTTAGGAATCTGGAGTGGAATGATCATACCCCCAAGCAGGTTACTTCAATAGCTAGATACCATCTTTACTACACAATGAGAAAGTTTATTAAGAACCCTGAGCTGATGAAAGCATACGATCTAAGTGGAATGAAAGGATATCTTCCAGTCAGTATTCAGTCTTTCAATGGGGCCAGTTACGGAGGTGGAACATATATGAAAGCTGGATGGCTAAACTACTCGAATTCCGATCATCTTCACTTCATACCGTATAAGTCGGACGGTATCACACAGGTCGGAGTACAGTTGCTTATGGATAGTGTGGAAAGTTATGTTTATTCTGTGTTGGGAGCTCAAGCTAAAATAAGGTGGAGTATTGTCAGTAGTAAATTAGGTAAGTCTCTCCAAACGCAACAGGCTTTCAGAAGAATTGTTAATGACACCGTGGTGCAGATTAATGTGAACGTTACTATTAGCGATATGAGGACAGCTATAAGGGGTGTCCCTTAATGTGATACTGAATATGGCAATCAATCCTAACATAATACTGATCCCCTCTAGGCTAATCATTCTTGAAACGCCTATTCCTGGATATATATACGTGACGTGACGATCCGTGACGTGACGTGGCCGCGTGTCGTCACGCACGAAAGTGCTCTGCGTTTTTACGCATTTTAAACTGATTTCTGCACTTCCTTTAAACAAATACAATTTCAAGTGTTCCGTAAGACTTCCGTTCGAAGGATTCTGAAGTTCGTATAAAGTTTTTGTTTGTTTCTGTGTTGTTTTCGTGGACTTTTCTCATTTGTTTTATCGAAATTGGATTGTATAATTGTCAGTTGCTGTATACACGTTAGTCAATACGCCACGAGTATGCTGACGACGGTGCGCAAGTTTAAACGTCGGAACAAAATTGCGTGCGTATCGAACATTTATGGAATAGATATTGGAAACACTCGGAATATTTTCGACTGGATAAAGAATGGCGTGAACTGCTTTATTCTTCTTATGACAATTCTCTGGTTGTGCTTTAAACTGAAACCATCGTACATTCCTGTCGAAACAACGCTAAATGGCATTGTTATTCATTCTGAACTTGCAATTTTACCTGACAAACTGTGTTGTGTTTGGGCTGCTACTTGAGATTTAAAACAAAGGCAATTCAACTATCCTTTAAACTATCAATACGAAATAAATCTGGCTGGTGATGTGGCGACAAATCCTGGTCCTTGTACTTCTTCAACTAGCAATCGAACAGTAAAATGTCTTTCTCTTAACGCAAGAAGTTTAACAAGCTTACATAGTACAAACAGCAGTGAAGGTAAACGCAGTAACATGGAACTCGTCCAGAATTTGGTGTACTCCGAGGACAGTGATATTATTTTTGTGAATGAAACTTGGCTAAAGAAAGACATCTGCGATCTTGAAATTCTGCACTCAGGTTATTCTGTTTTTAGGAATGATCGAAAAACTCGCGGTGGTGGAGTACTGTTAGGCGTAAAAACATCTTCCTTTAAATCTGTGCATGAAATTAAAGACAATTATGAGCTAGAAATCATCTTGGCTGAAATAACAACAGCTACAAATATGAAAATAATACTGGGTTCCTGCTATCGTCCTCCAAATGAAGACCAGACTTGGATAGAACGTTTCAACAACTTTCTTGGTGATATTTGTTCAAGTCACCAACACATTGTTCTCGCAGGGGATTTTAATCTTCCGCAAATTTCGTGGAACTCACCAGAACAAACGACAGGTTTCTCTGAGAATGCTTTTATTGAATTACTTAATGACTACTTTATGGTTCAACTCAACAACACCGCAACTAGAGAAAATAACGTTCTCGATCTCGTTACCACAAACATTCCAAAACTGGTTAAAATTAGCGAAATTTTGTCCCCTGCTGAAGCAGATATCTTTACTGATCACAGTGTAATCAGTTTTGACCTCTTTGTTCACCCCAAACGCTTGCCAAAAACTAACAGGACTGTGTATGATTATCGGCGAGGAGATTTTACAGCTCTTAGATCTGCTCTCGAGTCCTTAAACCTCTCTGGATTAATTTCAAGCGATGGTGATATTAACGAAGATTGGCGTAATTGGAAAGATACTTTCCTAGCGACTGTATCGGACCATATTCCATCTACAAAATTACGAAGCCGTTATTACGTCCCGTGGATGAACAGTGCTATAATGCATAATATCAAAAAGAAAAACTCTGTGCGGCGGAAGTTAAGGAAAGCTCCTACATCTACTAACCTGAAAGAAAAATTCAAACATCTCAGAACTGCCATTAAAAAAATGCTGCGTGAAAGTCGTTCAAAGTACATCAACTCTATTTGTGATGATCACGGAAATAACCCAAAGCGTTTCTGGTCGCTCTTCAAGCTAAAAACCAAATCTTGCAATGTTCCCGAGAAAGTCTCAATGGGGGTTGAAGGAAATTCAAGGAAATACTCAGAAACACCAGCGAACATAGCAACTCTCTTTAATAATTATTTTACATCCATCTTCACCAATGATCCAGATACTTCTATAGACCCGTCCACAATCGATGATAACATTTCCTTGTTGGAGGATGTTGTTTTAACACCTGACGACATAGCTAATGTACTTAGAAGTCTTGATAACGACAAAGCTCATGGACCAGATGGGATTCCTGCTCGTTTACTAACAGAAACTGCATCTGAAATAGCTCCATCTCTATGTCAATTATTTAACAAATCGTTGCATATCGGCGTGGTACCATTTGATTGGAAACTCGCTAATGTTGTTCCTGCTCATAAAAAAGGAGACCAGGAATTTGTGGAAAATTATCGACCTATATCCCTGCTCTCTCTGGTTTCGAAAGTTCTGGAACGCTGTGTCTTCAATACTATTAAAGATCATATTTTCTGTCGAATAAATCCTTGTCAACATGGTTTCCTTCCCGGGAAAAACTAGCTGTGTGACCCAACTTATCGAAGTTTTTGACAAGATAGGAAAACAACTAGATCGTGGCAAACAGATCGATGTAATTTATTTAGATATGTCAAAGGCTTTCGACAAAGTTAGCCATAAACGTCTTCTTCTTCGTCTCCGTGAATTTGGTTTTGGAGGCAACATTCTCAACTGGTTCCGCTCCTACCTACAAGATCGTCGTCAACAAACAACCATCCTCGGTGCAACATCTTTACCTAGTCAAGTAACATCAGGGGTACCTCAGGGCTCCATTCTCGGACCGGTGTTATTTTTGTTATACGAAAATGATCTCCCTTCTTCTGTGATGAATTCATCCATTGCAACATACGCTGATGACACCAAAATCTTCAAAGAAATCCATAATATCGGTGATGCTACATCGTTACAGGAGGACCTGAGTAGCTTTGAATCAAGTTCTTCAGATATGGGTCTTCACTTAAACACTTCCAAATGTAAAGCTCTGCGGGTCACCAGAAAACATCGCCAGATCAAGTATCCATACACCTTACAAGATAGCATGTTAGAAAACGTTGAAAATGAGCGTGATCTCGGCGTATGGATATCAAACAATTTGACCTGGCGCAAACAGGTATTGGAACAATGCTCAAAAGCAAACAAAATGTTGGGTTTCATCAAAAGATCAACAAGAACAATCAAGAACTGTAAAGCCCGTCGGACACTATATATAACACTTGTTCGATCGCAAATGGGATATGCTACATAAGTTTGGTCTCCACAAAACATCAACCTCATCGCTCGCTTAGAACGCGTACAAAGACGTGCTTCTAAATACATTTTAGATCTACCTTTCCTTTGTGAAAGCAGCTACACCCAAAGGCTTGTTGACTTGGTCTTTCTACCTCTAAGTTATTGGCATGAATATCTAGACATGTTATTTTTCTACAAGGCAAATTGCGGTATCATGTGCCTCTCGGATGCAGTTGTTCCCAAACATAATGAAAACTCACGAATTACAAGATCAGTGGATCCGAACTCCATAAACTTCCAAGTTATGAAATGTAAAACCTCTACCTACCAACAGACTTATACGATAAGAACAACAAGAATATGGAACATATTACCAGGATCAATAACCGATAAATCTAACTCTCTAATAACCTTTAAAAATATCTTAATTAAATATTACTATACCGCATTAGATAGGAATTATGATGTGGATGATCCTCGGTCGTGGAAAACAATTTGCCTGAAATGTAACCAGGCCCGGGACATAACCAAACCTATTGCATGTTGTTTTTAAATCAGATATGTATCTATATATACATATATGTGTGTCTGTGTGTGTGTATGTTTGTGTAACACTGTACTTGTACGTTTTGGGATCACAGTAATTGGCCTGAAGCTGTTGTGATTTCCTGTCACATTTGTAATGTTATATATGTAATGATTGTTATTTGTCATGATGTATTCTTGTTGTGACAAAGCTTGTAAAAATAAAAAATAAAAAATAAAAAAATAAAAAAATAAAATATAATAATATACTCGCAAGTCCTACAAAGACGACTACCTTTGGGATTAATACTAAACTAAACTATGTCGGAGTAAAGAAGACTCCCCCTCCTAAGAAACATTCACCGGATAGTACGCCTGTTCATCATTTGGATACTCTTAAGGTAGACACAGTGGGTCCTAAAAAGACTGCGAAGAAGATGCAGACAACTGTTCCTACTGATAATGTACCAGTTGTGTCGCATAAGGTAGTTGGACCTCGCGAGTCTTCGGGTAATGGTGTATTAGCTGGACTCGGTATTGGGATGGTTGTTGTTTTCCTTCTCTTGAGAGTAGTGCTGTGAAACATTACGTATTTCATAAGATGACTCCCTATCAGGGATATGATGGCGGTAAAATTAATGTTAACATGTCAGGTGGAAGTGGAGTTAATAAAAATGGTTTTACTATGAAGGGTGACATTGACATGGGTGGTAATGAGGTGAAAGGTTTGGGTGCACCAACGGATGACACATCTGCTGTTACTAAGAAGTGGGTAGATGATGAGATTGTTAAACAGGCTTCTGTCACCATTCAACCAGCAGGGTTTACTATGACAGGAAACATTAATATGGGAGATAATATGATCACTAACGTTACACCAGGTAGTGACGCTAACAATGCTGCAACGCTTGATTACGTTAGGAGTCAAAGCATAAAGCACCTTCCACTGGATGGTACGAGAGCAATGTTGGGTAATCTCAATATGGGATCCAACGAAATAAAGGCTCTTGGTAACCCTACTACTGATAGGTCTGCTCTTCACAATGGATGGGTAGTAGGTATGCTAAACAGACCTGTCTCTGGACTTGACATTGCTGGAGAGATTGATATGAAAAACCATGAGATCAAAAATCTGAGTGACCCAACTGATGATAAGTCCGCTGTGAATAAAAAGTGGGTCACTGATCATGTGAGTGGAAGTTCTCTTACCAGTAGTGGCTTTACAATGACGGGTAATATTGACATGGGAGGGCATAGTGTACAGTGGGACTCGCAGGGGGCTCTGTGGGAGACACAGCTGCACTGTCAAGTAAGACGATAGACACTTGGGGGTTACAGTTTGTGAAGCGTGATGGTGGTACGCTAGCAAGCAACCTTGATGCTAACAGTTTTGAGATAACTCGTGTGGCTAACCCAACAACTGACGGGTCTGCTATTTCTAAGAAGTGGGTCACCGATCATGTAAGTGGGAGTACAATAAATACGGGAGGATTCACGATGACAGGTAGTATTGACATGGGTGGGCACACCATTGAGAAGCTTAGATTGTCTTCACGTAATAACCCTAACAGGGAGTCTGTACCTAACACAGGGTGGGTCACAGATAAGTTCATGAGTAAGTCAGGCGCGGTCTGGTGGAAGGCGATCTTGATATGGGAGATTCAAGCGGTATTGTGGATTTGAGAGATCCGGTAGGTGCTAAGGACGCGGTGAACAAGCAATGGGTGTAAAATAACTTTGCTTCTACTATTGCCAATGGAAAGTACGTTGAGAGTAGGCATCATAAAGTGGCACAGTGGGTGTGGGGTTATCGTGGAGTTACAACTACTGCCTCGAGATATCACGCTTACTGTCACGATCAGATTCCACCCTCGTGGAGAATCGATACTATTAACAATCTGACTAACCTCAATCTGGAATCATTCACTATTAAGTCTGATGCTTCCCTTCTCACAGACACAACCAACGTGGGCTTGGAACTGATTCTGCGTGTGTCAATCTATGTGAAGCAGTCCAACGGTATATTCACACGGCAGAAAAAGGATATCCGCAAAGGGAACAGTGAATACTACATTGGGGGGTAAGCTGAGTTGGTTGATAACACAATGGCATGGTGTGTGATAGTCAAGCCTGAACAATCAATGCCTACTGGAAAGAGCATGGATATGTCATTCTGTTGGTCTCTGTTGTATTCAGGATCAAATGGTGGATAACATGGATTATAATGTTATACAGAGATGTTGTGCTTAGGTTGTGTGAGTAAAGTTAATTCTGAAAACGATGAATACCAGTCATGTTTGCCATGTGTGAGTAAGTTATGTGGCTGTCCAAAGAGAGTGAATCTGAGGCTAAAAATAGTCGCAAGAGTGGAGCAATCAACTTCTCTGTGTCCAATGAAATTAAGCTTGAAGGAGTACACAGAACAGAAAACAGGACGCCAATGGAGTAAGTAACACAAATTAAACTGGGGGTAGTGTACTACACAGTCAAGGTGGTAAAGTTGTTGAAGAGGCTCCACAGTGACATAAAACCGGTTTCCAGACCCATGAAACTAGGATTCACAAAAGTGGTCTCGGATTGACTCTATGAAGTCTATATTAACAAACTTGATTCTCAAAAAACTGGTCTCTGAAATTTGACGTTGAACTGCGTGTCCGAGACCAAAATGTATTTTTTTCGGAGGGGTGAAGTGGTCTCGAACCCGTAGTTCCTATACTACTTTCATTTCATTTCACAAA